GTTAGATTCACGGTTGTAACAATAGAACCAACAAACCAGTTATAACCTCTTACTATTTGCTTGGATTGCTTGGAATGGGTCAAATTATTTTTAATGGTTAGACATAAAACCACATGGACCACCCATATTTTATTGGTTCACTACTTTAACCATCAAAAACTTATGAGAACAAAATAATATAACTTAAACTAAGACTATCCAGCAAAAATTATTATTTTTATATTTGCTTCATTTTCTTTGTTTCTCAACCTCTTTGTTGGCATTGTGTGGTTCACCATAGATTGTCACCCTAATTACTAGATAAGTCTAATTTAATAAAAATAGATTATATTCATTTCTCATATAGTTTGAATGATTTATTATAACTTTTTATGCTAGATTATATGAATTTGAAATTGTTCGTGATTAGAGTGATAATTTTAGTTCTAAATTAGTGTATTTTATATATATATATATGGTGACTACTTCGGTGCACTCACAAAAATTAGTGCGTTCAATGCACCCAACTCAAAAACTAGTCTTAAGGTGTCGGATTTTGAATTTTAATTTGTAGAATTAGTGTAATATGATGATATAACATATGATAACAACTAATTAGCGAATTACCCTAAGCCCTAGACCTCCAATTTTGTGTTCTATCCCTAAAGCCCTAGACCTCCAATTTTGTGTTCTATCCCTAAAGCCCAAATTATAAACCCTAACCCTAACCCTAAATCTCTAAACTCTAAATCCTTCAAATTAGAGTTAATCTTCAATGGTTTTTGTGCAAATTCATATGTGTTATTGTTCATCACATCATAAGTGATGATTGACATCATTTTGACATAAATCGCATGTTCAAAATGACGGTTATGAAGTGAGTGCACTGAATGCACCCAAAAAAGTGAGTGCACCGAAGACGCCACCATATATATATATATATATATATATATATATATATATAGCCTTTGCCATATATATATGGTTCAGGCTAGCGTACGCCCAGGCGTACCTTAGTCTAACGTACGCCCGTTGAGTTTTGCTATTTAGACAATGAATTAATCAGAGTTTTTGGCATGATACTATACCCTAACCTCTAATGGATAAACCCCAGTCCCTAATTTTATAACCCAACTCATGAGATTCGTTTAATCTTAAAAAGTAAATCAACAATAATTTTGACAAATCAAGACCGTTGATTTTTATTTCAAGATTAAATGAATATTATGCTTTTGATTAGTGAATTAGGGATTGGGGTTTATCCATTAGAGGTTAGGGTATAGTATCATGCCAAAAACTCCGGTTAATTCATGATCTAAATAGTAAAACTCAACGGGCGTACGGTAGACTAAGGTACGCCCGGGCGTACGCTAGCCTTTGCCATATATATATATATATATATAGTGGTTACTTTGGTGCACTCACTTTTTTGGGTGCACTGAGTGCACCCATCTCTAAAAGTGTTCATAATACATCAAATTTTAAACTTTAATTAGTACTCTCAATCTAATATGATGATATGACATAGAATCATAACAAATCAATCTATTACCCTAACCCCTTAACCTTCAATTTTGAATCACAATGCAAAATCCCAAACTGTAAACCTAAACCCTAACCCTAAATCCTTCAAATTAAAGTAAATCTTAAATGATTTTTTTTCAAATTCATGTACTTCTTGTTCATAATATCATAAGCAACAATTGATACCGTTTTGACATGAATCGCATGCTCAGAATGATGATTATGAGACGGGTGCACTGAATGCACCCAAAAAAGTGGGTGCGCCGAATACGCCACCATATATATTATCTTTTATCATCAATGAATAACCAATAATTCTATAACAGTTAACCACGGAATCATAAATCACTAATTTTTGCACTTCGACATCTGGTTCTGTTACGACAACAAAGAATAGCTAGCAAGCTTGAAAACAAAGAATACCTCCGAGGCTTAATATTGAAATATTGTAAGTGGATAAACATTAACCAAAACAAAAGGCCTTAAAATTCTATGAGGCGCCCTTCATATGCAAATTATGTTCATTTAAATCTTAGTTCGACTAAGATATGTAGTGAAACTCAAGAAGCAAATGATATAATCTTCTTGTTTTAGTGATATGTGGACTACCCATCTCTATCATACATGTTGGATATTTCATCGTAGATTATTAGTTAAACAAGTTCGAGATTATACTACCTGCATTTTTTGGTTTGTTCTGACCATCCCAATTACATATCCTCAATTGTAGAATTAATTTCAATGTGACATCTTGTTAATACATTAGCTCGTTGTTGTATACCTCGATCTTAATTGTTAAAAAACAAAATTCAGATCGAGATCTAAAGCAGGAAGTTTGGTACCGGTATTTGTTATATCTCGTGATGAACTTATCACTATTTGGTATTATCGAATATCGATTTATTTTTTAGGGATCGGGATTGGAATTCATTTTGAAGTGTTATTTGGTATTCGGGATTACGGGATTGGGATCGGTATATATCGAAATATACGGAGAGACAAAAAAAATTAAAAATTTATGAAATATAGTACACAACCTTTTGGTCATTCCCCACTATTTCATAACTCACAAGTTCCCATCCAACTCAATTTTGGCTTTCCTGTTTATTTCACTCTTGCCTTTCATCAAATCTCTTGTTATTTTCATAACATAAAAAAAGAAAACGCTATTATTAGTCGTCCTCTCAACCACCAATTTGTCGAATTAAAGTTTACCAATGACAAGAACTTGAGTTGTCACCTCTTCTCCATTCTCTCTATCCATGTCCTAGCTTTAGGCGTACTCAATACTCTTTGCACAGTCTCTTTACCCTAAATTAAACAATAAAATCAAATTAATATATTTAATTATTAATTGCAGAGGTAATTCATTTTGTATTCGATAATACCGATTGGGATACCGAAATACCAATTCGGATAGCGAAATATTTAGGGATTGGAATTGGAATTGATTTTACAGGAAAATCCGATATTTGGAATTTCAATATTTGGTATTAATATACTGATACCCTACTGATTTCCACCCATAGATCAACCATTTCAACCGATAAATGTGCATATGTACAGGAAGGGAATATATGTACACTTGTTTTAATATCAAGCCTTAATAAAAGAAAAACCTACTAACTACTACCAACATTACCCATGTAAGAAAGTGGTATAAGTACCATATATGCAACATTTTATCAACTTGAATTATTGAGATTTGTTAGTTTATGACATGGTATCATAGTTGTTTAGCCAAGTGGTCGTGTGTTTGAATCTCCACTACCCTTAATATAAACAGCTACTTAAAGTACAAGGTAAGATCCATAATAACTTTCTCCCAACAACTCGAGTTGTTGGGACCAACTGGTTCATGACATGGAAACGGAGTTGGTTGGTCCTTGATACCACGTGTTCAAGTACTCATTACCCTCAATATTAACTGTTATCTTAAAGCACATGGTATGTCAAGCATGTGAAAACTTCAAGCACATAATTGGTCTCTTGTTCGAGGGGAAGAGGAATTTTAATCAAACCGCTAAATACAGCCTCTTTAACCACCATTTCAAGTCCTCACAATACTCCATATTCCCATTAAAAAAAAAACCCAATACTCAATATTAGCCTTTGTCTCATGGCTCTCATTTGATGAGAAGGACTTTTAACCAAACCACTAAATACAAGGAGATCATTCAGTATCCGGAACAACCTTTTCAAGTACCATTTCAATGTTCCCACGACCTCCGTTGGACACCAACAAGCAGCCAAAAAAGAAAAATCAAAAACTGCTGATCACTTGTGCAATTTTCAAACTTCCCCCAGACGAGGGAGTGTAAATTAGGGATGGCAATGGGTCGGGTTGGGTCGGGTTTTGTCAAACCCAAATCCATAGTTTATCAGCCAAAAAAATCCGGGGTAAAATTCGTTGGGTTTGAAAAACTCAAACCCAACCCAACCCGCTGGGTATCCGCGGGTTCATCGGTACCCGTGGATTTTTGTCGTAAAAATTTACAATAACAAGTTTCTTTCAAAATAAAAGTTTAACATCAATTTTCTCATACAAAAAACACCAATCTAGAGCATACAAGCAAAGCGCAAATGATCAATACAAATTATTCAAAATTAAAGATAAACATATATAAACAATAAGATTAATTGAAAGCGTCTTCCTCGTCAACTAAGTTTCTTCACTCTCCACTTCATAATATCAACTTCATTCTAAACAATTAGAAAGAACAAATTATACATGTCTCCACAAACATATAGAATATTAGTTGTTTAAAGAAGATATATTATTTAGAATATTAAATATACCGAGAAAGTAACTATATGTGTGGGCGGGTACCCATGGGGCGGGTTTACCTAAACCCAAACCCAACCCGACCCGATGAATAGTGTAGCGGGTTTAAACCCAAACCCGGCCCAAAACCCGTCAACACGGGTTTTACCCGTATTGACCGAGTTGGATCGGGTGGGTACCCGTGGGTTCGGGTTTTATTGCCATCCTAAATAAATGTTCATCAATCATCACCTCAACTCATTAAGCAAAAGAAACTGCAATTTAATACATCGAGTCAAGGTCGTAGTGAATCATATGTTAAAGGGAGACGACGAGAAATACAATCACACGAAACTGGTTTTGTGGAAGAAAAAATTCAATTACAACATCATTTCACACTCCCTCCCCTGTCGTAGTCGATAACAAAGCACTAAGCCGCCATTAACAAATCGAAAAGTGTAACCTCTCAATTCGCTCCTCTGTCAGAAAAAGATAAAGTGCTCTGTTTTCACTGCAATTCTCCCCCATACGCCATAACCAATTCCTTTATTCCATTCCATGGATGGAACAAATGTCAACAAGGTGATAAGGAAAGAGTTTATTGGTTTAGTATGTAACGTAAAGTCAGTCATTCATTCCCCCCTTCGCAATTGGTTCCGATAGTGCCATCCCCACTATCACTAAATGTTGCTTATAAAAGCTCTCCCTTCAATCTTCCCCTGCTGGTCCATTCACACAAAAAGCAGAGGAGGAGGAGTAGTAGTTGCCCCTCTGGCTTTCCCTTTCCACTCTCACTCTCACTCACGCCTCTCTCTCTCTCAACCTCCAGCCCTCCAAAAACAACTGACCAAGTGAATTCAGAATCCCCCCACAACCACCAACATGTCCCTTCTCTTCTCATCACTCGCGTTTCTCCTGCTAATCACCACCACCACCTCATCACCGGCGGCGACTCCCCTCCGCCGCGGATACTACTCCGCCACCTGCCCTCCCGCCGAGTTCATCGTCAGGGAGGTCATGAGAAAGTCACTCCTCTCCGACCCACGAAGCGCTGCCTCCGTTATGCGCTTCCAGTTCCACGACTGCTTCGTCAATGTAATCACAAAACTAAAAACACTCTGTTTCTTTCTTTTGCTCTGTAAAGTTAGGATTGAAATGAATTGATCTATTCTTCCCAACAGGGATGCGATGGTTCAATGCTGATGGATGACACAGACACCATGCTTGGGGAAAAGCTCTCCCTCTCCAACATCGATTCCCTCCGATCGTACGAGGTCGTCGACGACATCAAGGCCGAGCTCGAGAAAGCTTGCCCCGGCGTGGTCTCCTGCGCCGATATCATCATCATGGCTTCTCGCGACGCTGTTTCCCTGGTAAAAACAACTTTTCCTTCGGTTCAATCGAATTCTACAGTAACTGATAATTTGATTCCAATTATCCTCTGTTTTTTTTTTTGAATCCTCTGTTTTTCTTTGTACTCTGTTTTCGTGAATCAGACGGGTGGGCCGAACTGGGAAGTGAAGCTGGGCCGGCTGGACAGCCTAACGGCGAGCCAGGCCGACGCCGACGCGATCATGCCGAGCCCACGGGCCAACGCCACGATGCTGATCGATCTCTTCGCCCGCTATAACCTCTCGGTGAAGGACCTCGTGGCCCTCTCTGGCTCCCACTCCATCGGCAAAGGCCGCTGCTTTTCCATCCAATTCCGCCTCTACAACCAGTCCGGGTCGGGCCGGCCCGACCCGGCGATCGAGCCGCATTTCCGGGAAAAGCTGATGGATCTGTGCCCGATGGGCGGCGACGACAACGTGACGGTGGGGCTGGATTCCACCCCGGTGGTGTTCGACAACGCGTACTTCAGGGATTTGGTCGGCGGGAGAGGGTTCCTGAACTCCGATCAGACGCTGTACACTTTTCCGGCGACGAGGAGGTACGTGGAGCGGTACAGCCGGGACGAGGAGGAGTTTTTCCGGGCGTTCGTGGAAGGGATGGTGAAGATGGGGGATTTGCAGTCAGGGAGGCCAGGGGAAGTGAGGAGGAATTGCCGGGTGGCGAATGGGGGACGGCCGCCGGCGCCGGCGGGGTTTAGAGTAGATAGATGGATTAGCTAGGTGTCTAATGCTAGTCCCACGTTAATGGTGGAAACAGCCGGATTTCGATTGGTTGGTAAAGGAGATGAATGTAAATGGAAGAATATAGCTTTTCCCTTTTTGCCCCTTTGTCTGGTTGTCTTGCTTGCTTTGTTGCGATTTGCTGAGCTAGCTTTTGGATCATATCCTTACAGTGATGGGCTTTCGGTTGGAATCTGTCAAACCGTTTTTGTTTGTTCTTGCTTGCGATCATTAGTCATATTACGTACGTCTTCCTTTTGGCGTTTGCTTTGATCCCTGATTGTTGTTGTTGTTGTAGTAATAGCGAGCCTATTTGTATTTACCAGAAATCTATGCTATACCCTTCCCACAACCCAAGAAATGAGATCGATAAAAGAATAGAGAAAGGGTTTTGTGTGCCACTTGTAGTAATGTAGTCCAAGTCGAATTTATGGTTATAGAAATTGAATTCGGTTTATTATTCTCACTTAAATTGTTTTTACGATTTTTTTTCTTCAAAAGATATCATATATTAATCCAATCAAAAAGATTGTTACATCCTGAATAACAGCCAAGCCCTGAAATCAAAGAAACGATTTACAGTCGGGTACAAAGAGAGGGCTTTTCTAGCTACCGAATGAGCTACCCTATTGTTCTCCCGACCTACAAACCGCACACTAAACCCCGGGTGGGCACGAAAATACTGACAAATCTCGTCCAGGACTGCCCCCAAGTGACTGTCGCTCGTGTCGGCTTGATTAATCTTGTCAATAATGACCTTCGCATCACCCTCGAACCTAACTTCGGACAAGCCACACTCTAAACACCATATGATAGCCTCCCGAAGCCAAGCAACTCCACTAACAGTGGCTCTTCAATTTGCTCAAATTGCACACCTTTAGCCTGAAGGAGCGTCCACCCCGGATCAAAAAGAACCATCCCACCAGCCGAATGAGACCCCGCCTAGTGGCCCCATCCCACATACAAACCAGACGAGAATCAACCACTTGGGTCTCTGGTTGGATCACCTGGCAGGATATCCTCGGGGGCTGGTCAACTGGCAGACCCTCCCATTCCTCGTACTGTTGGTGAAATTGACGCATTAAAGCCGGGATCCCAAACTGTTTGCCTTCAAAGACAACCCAGTTCTGCGATCGCCAGATGCGCCAAAGGATGGCAACCACAGCCATAAACAGCGACTGGTGATGGACAAGGGCGAGCATCCGCTTAAGAAACAACGGAAACGTGTGCCGAGACAAACCCTCCCCTAGATAGTCCAATCCCGAGTAGTCCCAAAAAGCTCGCGCGACCGGACAATATAGAAATATGTGCTCCATAGTCTCGGGACCATCCCAGCAAACCGGACACCGGGGCAACACAGGAACCTTCTTTTCAATGAGAGCCTCGGTGGTTGACAGAGCCCGATGAAGAATTTGCCAGACAAAGACTTTGAGCTTAGGAGGAATCTTAGCCTCCCACAATCGAATCCAGCTTTGCCTATCCATCCAACTAACTAAGGCCCGCCACCCACCCCTCCTCCTGTCTAGTTCAACTGCTAAATGATAGGCCGTCTTAACCGAGAACACCCCATCAGGTGTGTTATGCCAGATCAGTTTATCATCCACATTCTGCCGTGGAAGTGGGATAGTCTTAATGGCTCGACAGGTAGATGGGTCAAACCATTGACTAAGCTTATCCTCCGCCCAACGCCCTTCCCCTTGCAAAATAACCTCCGCCACCAAGGGATCCCCCCCATCTGGCAGGACCCGAGGATTATAGCAAGGGGGGTCCAGCTGAAGCCCAGGGATCGAATTAGAGTGGATAAGGGAGGCCTAAAGGCCATTGCCGATCTGCCATCTTAAACCTGCCTCCAACAACTGGCGCCCAAATAGGATACTCTGCCATCCCCAAGAAGGGCGTGAACGAGCTGTAGCAGCCAGAAAAGTTCCTTGAGAAAAGTACTTCCCTTTATACACCTGAGCCAGGAGGGAAAGAGGTTCGTTGAGAATACGCCAGCCAATCTTAGCTAAGAGAGTCTGGTTAAAATGCTCAAACCGGCGAAATCCCAAACCCCCATCATGCTTACTCCTGCAAAGGTTACGCCAGGACACCCACCGAATCTTGGGTTGGCCCTCCTCAGCTCCCCACCAGAACCGGGCCATATGTCTATCCAAAAGACGACAAAGAGAGAGGGGCAACCGGAAACACGACATAACATGCAGGGGCAAAGCCAAAGCCATTGACTTAATTAAAGTCTCCTTTGCCGCCCAGGACAATGTCCTTTGCTTCCACCCCTGCAGACGCGCCAGCAATTTCTCTTCTAAATACCGGAATGTCGCCATTTTGGAGCGGGCAATCAAAGTGGGTAACCCCAGATACTTATCATGGACCCCTACTGCACCGACCCCTAGAATCGCGGCCAAAAATTCTTGATCATGCAAGGCAACATTTTTACTAAAACAGACTGTCGACTTCTCCAAGTTAACCCTCTGCCCACTCAGCTCCTCATACTCATTCAGCATCACAATCAAATTCTCGCACTCCTGAAGAGAACCTCGTAGGAATAAATAGGAATCATCCGCGAAAAACAAATGCGAGATCCTAGGAGCACGAGGAGCCACTTTCACCCCCTCCAACTTCTTTTCCGAGATCTTCTTCCGAAGAAGGGCCGCAAACCCCTCTGTGCATAGCACAAACAAGAGAGGCGACAACGGATCTCCCTGTCTGAGTCCCCGAGAGGAATTCAAAAAACCCGAGGGTGTACCATTCATCAGTACCGAAAAAGAAGCGGATCTAAGTCATTCATGTATCCATCCTTGCCAAACAGAGTTAAAACCCATCTTATCCAAAACTGCCAGAAGGAAGGGCCATTCGACTCTATCATAGGTCTTTTCCATGTCAACCTTTAGAGCCATGTACCCTTTCTTCCCCTGCTTCTTTATTTTTAGATAATGCATTAACTCATGCCCAAGAAGGATGTTATCAATAATTTTTCGATCTCTTATAAACGCATTATGTCCCTCAGAAACGATCTGAGGAAGCAGACCAGCAAGCCGTTCAGCCATGATCTTGGTTATTACTTTGTAAACGAATTGACATAGACTGATCGGACGCAGCTGGCGGACTGTTTTCACCGAATCCACTTTAGGGATGTAAGTAAGCCAAGTATGGTTAAAACTCCGCAGCATTCGACTAGTTGAAAAGAATGAACAAACTGCATCAATCACCAAGGTGCCCACAATATCCCAGAATGCTTTGAAGAATTTGCCGGTAAAGCCATCAGACCCCGGAGCCTGCTTCGACCCCATTGAAAAGACCGTTCTCCGAACCTCATCAGGCAAAACCACCACCGTCAACAGCGCATTCATTTGCGGAGTAGCAGTACGGGAAATGGGGAGACTCGCCACCCTATCAGTCATATTAGGAACCTGGGATTCCAATGTAAACAGAGTTTGGTAAAAGTTGGTAGCAATCGTAGCCTTCCCACTTCCCACTTCCCAAAAGTCCGGAGCCCAGAGACAAAATTCCTCTTCCGCCGTGTGCGAGTGACCGTATGGAAATAAGCAGAGTTTTGGTCCCCTTTTTTTTAACCATCGGACTCTGGACTTTTGTTTCCAGTACAGCTCCTCTGCATCCCACTAACGAGTCAGCTCCGTCTCCAGGGACCTGATCAAATCCCAGTCCACCGGATGGATTGACTTGACACGGTCAATCTCAGCCTGGAGAGTCTTTATATTCCGCAAGGAGTTCGTAGTGCCTGCCCGGCTCCAATCATAGAGCAGGTGCCGGAGCTTCTTGAGGCGCTCCCAAAGTCGAAACATAGGGGTACCTTGTATCTCCTCATGCCATACATAATGGACCATAGCCCGAACCTCTGGGTTATCCGCCCAACGAGCATCAAACCGGAATAGAGGCCGCCTACTCCGAGTATAAGGTTTATCGGGGAGGAGGAGGGCACGATGATCCGACCCCTGGTCCGTGAAATGTTTGACCAAAGTCTGAGGATAAGTATCTATCCAGGATTGGGAGCAAAGAGCCCTATCTGACGTTCACGAATGCACGCCGCCCCCATACGCTTATTGGTCCAAGTGAACTGATCCCCTTGGTAGCCTGGGTCATGGAGCCCCAAATCATGAACAAAATCCCGAAGGTTAATGGCTTGCGCCGCATTCCAAGCCCGACCCCATCTTTTTCTCCCTCATGGAGGGTAGTGTTAAAATATCCAATGACCACAAAGGGGTGATGAATATTTGCACAAACATCACGCAGATGAGCCAATTGGTTGGCTCGAACAGCAACATTACAACTAATATAGACAAAAAAACACCAAATACGAAAAATTCCCTTCATTAATTTGCGAACAAATGTAGAAATTGGAAGAACAAAACACCGAAGTGTCAACTTCGGGGGCCCAAACGACTACTAACCCACCCGATGCATCGACTGCATCAACAAAATAACAATGAGAACTATCAAAACCTAAACCCCACATACGACGGGACACTACACGCCGGATAATAGTAATATTATTGACATATTGCTTGTTGAGTTGCCAAATCTCACATATTTAGATGAGTTCTCGGATATTCAAATAGTTAAAACCAAATGACTTCCCTCCGATCCAACTATCCCTCCAGTTGTTATCCTCCGCCTCCTCCTCTCTCTGCCACGTTCTCCATCTACAGAGGAAATCCTATCTCCAAAAAACCCTCCAATTCCCCCATCATCCCCGACTAGAAATCCACCATAGCTGACCTCCATCTTTCTGCCTCCGACCTTCCCATGCTCTCCTGACACTACATCCAAAAGGCAACCCAATTCCTCCTCTGTACAAAATGAATTGGGTCAAGGCCAAGGATACCCCTTCTTCGCCAAATTCCCTTCCGCTTCTCTTGTCCTCCTTCTCCAATCATCCCTCGCCCACACCCTCTCCATGCTCCCCCAACACACATATTTGGATGATTTTTTTCCTTCTAATAGTGATCTTATTATGTTGGTATTTCTTTATATGTAGTGTAGGACTGGAAAAATAAAACACATCGTTTGAAAAACCATGGACCAGATCGCACAGTTTGGTCCGGACCGTAGACCATTAAAAATGGTCTAGTCTGGTCTATGGTATGTATTATATGGTGTTTTGACCACTTGGTCTGGTCTGGACCACGATTTACCGGAATAAACCATGGACCCGGTCGAGAAAGCAATACGTGTTAGCAACCCATTTGACTACTCTCTCAATTCTCCCAATGAAACCTAAGTCTCAACCCTAATTTTGAGAAACTCGTCTCCTCCTTCATTCACAACCACATGTTACTAGAGAGTAAAGATTATCGTGACTCCATATGACATTATGTTAATGTTTATAACGTTAGGGTGTAATTTTGGATGATTTAACTTCGTATTTTTGTTGTTTACTGAGGTTTAGGGTGTCAAAATTCTCCATGCATGTTGTAGTGGTATTGGTGGTTTGGGAGTAACTTGTAATTTTTTCGTTCTTATTGTACTTGTTTGGGGGTGTTTAGGTTTTTTGTTTTAGTAACAGTTTGGGGTACTAGTATTATTTTCGCTCTTCTCGTACTACATTGGGGGGTATTAGTTTTGTTTCATACTGGTGCTGGTTTTTCTATAGTTGTACTGCTTCCATGTAGTGGTATTGATTTCGTTTAGTGGTACTGATTATCATGTGTGATACTTATTTTAATGTGGCTGGAAGTCGGAGAAAGGCATCAGTTAAAAATAGACAGTATATATGGTCTAGTCTGGACCAAACCGCATTGTTTCCTAACCCTAATGTAATGGTATGGATGGTTTGGGGGTACTTGTAATGTTTTCGTTCTTATGGTACTTGTTTGGGGGTGTTTATGGTTTTAGTTCTCGTAACAATTTGGGGTACTAGTATTATTTTCCTTCTTCTCGTACTACATTGGGGGTACTAGTTTTGTTTCATACTGGTGCTGGTTTTTGTATGGTGGTGCTGTTTCCATGTAGTGGTATTGATTTCGTATAGAGGTACTGATTATTGTGTGTGATGCTTATTTTAATATGTGGTTGGAAGTCAGAGGAAGACATAAGTTAAAAATAGAAATGTACTTAATATCAATTTTAATTACCAAATATGTGTAATTAATATAAATTTTTCATTCCAAAAAAGTAATTGATATGAATTTTTAATTCACAAAATGTAAATCATATGTAGACTTTTTAATACCAATTTTGCTCTTAATTTGAATGCTGCAAACCACCTATAAAATTTGCACCATATCCTGTCCCAACAACAAACGAACCCTGCATGTATTGTACAAATTAAGCAAGATCTATTTAGTCTTTGCATTCAAAAGTTAAAGTAAAAAATAACTGCAACTATTCCTCGATATTTTGAACGTGGAAGTATGACCTTTAAGAACATGGTGTGATTGGGCCTAACCCATTCAAGTTCGAGTCATCGTGATACTTCGACGACTTTGGGATTCAAAGCGTACGACGTTAAGCCATGACCCATCAGTTGACTAAGTCTAACACTTCGATAGTGTTTTTGCAAGTTAATTAAATTCCTCCTTTGCACTTGTTAATAGACAATTCGTAAAGGATTTCTTCCCTGCACACGAGTTTGGGCAGAGCAAAAAAAGTGCATGACAAATAATAGCTAGCTTAGAGATGCCAATATATAATGATGTAAGTACCGCTTTACTTCCAATCACATTCACTTTCTTGGGTATTATGATATTTGCTTTCCTCGATTCGACTCATTTCAAAACTAACTCAATCTACAATTTGTAAACAAGAAAACCACATGAATTTTCACAAAAAAAAAAAATCAGAACACTAATTTGTTAATGAGCAAAAAATGAATAATTTAACTTTAATTCAGTAGCGGAACTAGGAATCTGAATGAAGAGAAACTGACTTGCCGTGATAATTGGAGGGGGAAACTGACCATACCGACTTATGTGTTCCCTAACATTTGCTCCAACCTAGCTCCTCCACTGCTTTAATCGTACATTATATCGTTACACTATACAGATACTGCAACTGTGATATTAATTGATAATTACAGTCTATTTTAGGCTAAAGGTCCATACCAAGTGCACCATATATCTATATCCATTTGAGTAGGAAGCAGAAATTATTTAATAAAAAGTATCAACGACATTAGGTCACTCTGAAAACAGGGAAAAGAAAGCAACTGAAACCAAAAACTTGAAAAGAACCAAAACACACAATTTGACAACTGCAAGTAATTTCCAACTTCGACCTGTCCTGTCCATAAAACAGAAATCCAGATTGAAAGGCTAAAATGTAACAACCGTCCCAGATATAGGATTTCCTTTGTTTGTCAGCATCCTATTCCTACAGGGAGGACCTTAGAAAGTGGAGGAAATTGGATGCAACCCCTAGTGGGAAAGACGACATTAGTACAGCACCACTGATCAAAGTGGGATGACGACTTTGCAGCCACTTGTTAGTAACCTCTATATTCACTATTGATGGTGTCCAATGGTAAAATAATGCACAAGATAGAACTTGATAGACTTTGCCTAATTATCCACCACAGATTCAACACTATGACCTATTGAGCAGCACGTGGTGGAAACATCAAACAGAACTAAGCTAGCTCGATGAATTCGGCCGCATCAGCAGCCAGAGAATCTCACTCCCACAGGGCCACACCTCAGTATCAGCAAAGCTCAAATACCAGGCAAACTAAAGCAATTTGAGACGGGGAAAGAACAAAAAATCTTTCAGTTGAAACTTACTATTTAGTATTTACTGCAGCAACATTGTCTATGGGCACTGCAGACAACAGTATCAGCAAAGTTTACCCAAATACCATCCCATCTCTGCAAAAATTTGGTGCAACTGAACTTTCAGAATTCACTGGTAATCATAACATGTTTAAAGTCATAAGAGAAAACGGCGAGCAATAACCAGGTCATACTCTGACGAGAGACTTCTCTCTACTAGACCGGTACGTAATGTAGCAGCAAGTGATGGAAGTTTAATCAAGTTCTGGGCTTCTTAGGCGCGCTGTCATCCCGGTGCTCAGGCTTGCGTTTTATCCCCAGGAAATGCTCAACCTGAGCCAATTGATAAAAAAAAAATATTTACCATAAGATTTGGATGCAAAGGCCATTACTGCAACATGGCAGAGTAAGAGGCAGCAGCAACTTTATACTTGAAGATTAGACTACTCTTAAATCACAAATGCTGACTGACCTTTTTGTCACCAAGCATTGGAGTTAATCCCCCAGGAAACTCCTTTTCTACCGTTGCAAAACCACTCCTTGGATCGCTCGTTTGCCTGCAATGAATTTGTTATAGAAACCATCAGAAAAAAAATTGTTATAGAGAAAAATTAATTCCCTAACCAATGTGCTAACGATCATCATGTCAACAAAGAAATGCTTCTATTACACTGCTCTGAGATCTTTCTAACTTTAATCTAATAGGAGAAAGACAGGCAGAGAGGAGAAGATAGTAGAATCATACCCAGGTCTCACATGACCACTAAGAACGAGGTATGGTGTCTGTAGCTGCACCTGAGCTTCCCTCATCCTCTCCACGGACAATGAAGGTGTATCTGAATTCTTCATTTGCTTCAACTTCTGTTCTTCCTGATATTGCTTCATCCGCTTTTCTTGCTTCATTTTCCCAGGGGCCTTGCCATGGAATGTATGAGAGATCTTCCTAAATGCCTCTTTCGGTGTCATCTGATATTTCATTGAAAATTGGTCAGGATATTGAAATAAAAGTGAAAATATAGAAAAGGCGCGAATCAAGTTGATATTTAATGATTGAAATAGCATGGTAAAATAACAGTGATTTGAAACAAGACGCCTAATACTTTCTCTACTATGTTTCTAGCAGAACATTGAGGACTAAAGAGAAGCACAAAAGTATGCGTCTGAATTCAGCTTAGGAAAGCAAATTAGAGTGAAGTCAAGTCCATTCAAATGGCAACTCCTAGCCTATGACCTCAATCAAGATAAATAGGTAGGACAAGAAGAGATATTTATCTTCAACAAGGAAAATACCAAGCCCCTCAACCAATCACTAAAGGGAGATGGAAGACAGGCATGCAGAGAAATGCTTCCAAAAGCTGAATTGGGTTTCCAACTTAGCAGAATGCAAACATCAAGAGTAAAGTGAAACGACACCTCAAAAGCTTGAACAGAGAACAACAAGCGAACTTACGATTCTCCCAAATTCATCTCTCCTCTCAATACGAAGATCCTTAAACCGATCGTTATCCTTATCCTTATTCTTCTCCTTGCCCTTGTCCTTGTCCTTCGCGTCATCAGTGTCTACAATGCCAACAAGCTTGCTCTTTTTCTTATCCATATTTCTACCACCCCAGTCAATGCTTTCTTTCAGGGACCCTCGCTCGTGGAGCAGCTTCAATACACCTGATAAACCTCTACCAACAGGAACTTCATGAATTATCTCATCTGGAGCTACCTCTTTTGCATCCTCCATCGTAGTGTCTTCATCTTTAACTGTCTCATTTACTTCGGGCAACCCACCGGCCTTAACTTCCATATGCTCATGAGTAGCTACTACTGCATCATCTTCATCATTGAAAACATCTTCGGCATCAGCCTTGTGGGCATCTGAAGAATCAAAGAAAGTTTGTTGGTTCCCGTATCAGCAAAGTACATAAATAAATGAAACAAGGAAGAAAGAGGACAAACAAAGTGAAGATAAAAACAAAAGGAGACGCCCAGAAACGACAAGGCAATAAAACTTCATTGACTCCTTGATTCTAAAAGCTTCAGAACTGAAGAAATACCTTCATCAAGCTGCAGACCCCAAACAAACTCTTCAATCTCAGTGAAGACAACCTTGCCTTCTTGTGATTCTTCAGTTGCAGGGTTTTGCTCATCAGCTGTCAGACTGTTCCTAATGGTGGTGGCAAGACGAGCAATTGCTTCAGGGCCAACTAGAGCCTTCTCTTGTTTTTTCAGAGCCAACTTTCTTGCTCTTTCAACAGATTTGTGGAGATAATCGTCTTCATCCTCGTCCATACCCATATCATTGGCTTCCTCATCAGCAACAGCAGAAACTGTTTGTCCTAATCGTAATGCTTTAGATGCTTCCTCTGCTTTTGCTAAAGCTAACTGATATGCAGCATTTCTCTTTTCTGCCTCAGATCTCTCTTGCTCTTCTCTGGCCTTCCTTCTACTGTCATTCCTAGAACCAAGATCACCAGTGCCTAACCCTGTGGAGATGGCTTCTGCTTCAAGAGCATTTATATCCAACTTATCCTTCTTCCTCAGGGATTTCTTTTTCTTTGGCTTCTTAAACTGAACCATTTCATCTTGAGTATAGTAATCAGACGAGATTCTTCCTGATGAGTTCAGATCTTCTGTACGATTATTAGTGGAACCACCTTGTAGTCTCCTACGCAACTGGAAAGACAATAAAGTAAAGCTAGTAAACAAAAACAGAAAATAATGGCAGGACAGCGTCCTTTTCAATAGTCTCCTACCACCTTTATAATAGTAGGAAAGAATATACCTCCTCCAGTTTTTTCTCTGCTTCACCACTGAAATGTCCCCTACCATCCAAAGTAAGTCCCTGAAATAAGAACCAAGGTTAGAAATCTACTTCTATTGCAGAACTTTTCTCTTATCTAGGGAGGAAGCGGATCATTGGAGTTGAAAAAGAAAACTGAAAACCAAGTTGAAACATCACATTCATACCTCATCTTCTGGTTCATCGTATTGAGGAAGCATCTTTTTCTCAGCCATAGGGTCGTCATTGAACCTTCAAGGTATAAAAAGGTTAGCAATGTGTCTACACGTTAAACTATTCAATGAGTAGCTAAAGAAGCATTCCACTTACTTGTCATCATAGGTGCCCTTTGGCTTCTTCGCAGCCTTGTACGCCTCATTTCGGCGCTTCTGCTCCCCAATTTCGATATTTTCAAGCATATCGACCTCTGTCAAATTAGACCAAAAACCTCTGTTACACAGAACTCAATATGTCAATTTGTATTCTTAACATAAAGCAGAGGAACATGACAATTCAATCAACATTTACCATCATTGATATCGCCATCAGCAAGAATACTCTGATCTTTAAGAGTCAAAACAACTGCTCCACCTTCTATTACCTTGTCAAGGCCATCTAGGACTTTAACTCCAGCTAAATCATCTGTCAAGTTGCAATCATTACAATAAGTAAACTGTCATGATAATGCAACACTAGGAACATCGGTGAAAGGCTTTCAAGATACGAGACTCCTAGCATTGTTCGGAATCTAAAACAAACAGGCAGGAAATGAGAATGAAGCAAACAACTCAGAATTACACCTACCTACAAGACTGAACAAGTACCCTAAAAACAATCTCATTCAACAGAGCACAAGCAAATTTCAATACAGGACTTGTAAGGCTGCTTCATATTTATTCTCCATATTTTCCATGTTCAATATATGGATTCATAACAGATATAACATCTATAAGTATGATGGCAGAACAAGTATCTCCAGACAAGCAACTCGATCACAGACAAAAGCACTTGTATAAACAGCAACTTCTTTTGAGGGGTAAGATTAAATAAAGAAAAAGATCGTACGTGAATGGTCTTCACCGTCATTTCCTTCTTCACCAATGTTATCCTGAGAAAAGGTCGTGATCCTTGTCAGGCAAGAAGATTAAAAAAAAAATACAAACAGGGAGTAATTCATGATGCAAAATCAACAAAAGAACCTGCTCCTCGAAAATTTTTGACAGCCTCTTGGCTTTTTCCTTTGCAGCATTCCTTTTCTCCTCGAGCTTACGGTTACTGCTGACCCAAGACAGGATTTCTGAACCAGTATCTGTTTTCCTTGTTCTTTCTTCTTTCATTCTAAGTAATGCAAGAAATATGAACATTGATTACTAGTTGAAGGAGAAAGGAAAAGCTGTGAGAACTTTCTAAAAGATGTAAACTGATGGCAAAAACAAGAAAACCTTACACTGTAGTGTATTGCTAGAATGCAGTACTAACCACTTATCAACCCATACAGTACACAGGAAAATCAGTTCACCAATGACATTTTAAATTGCTTTGCCAGATTGAATAGCAAAGAAAAGGAACGCAAGGATGAACATAATGGGTCAATGAATCAAGTTACTTACTTCATAATACGCTCCCTAAGTGCAGATGTTGATGTGTGTCCTCCACTGGAAGAGCGATCATCATTTTGCTGCTCTTCCTCACGGAAAGTCACTTTTCCTCTATGTCCATCATGTCCCCGGTCCACTGGAATTCTGTCATCCTTGGGCCTCCCAAGATCTTCTCGGATGTCATCTTTGCTTCCATCCCTATCCCTTGACCGTTCTTTACCTTGGTGTAATTCTCTTTCTTTAGTCTTCTCTTGTCCCTTATCTTTCTCCCCATCTTTCTCATTTTCTTTTAGCTTATCTCGATCCTTAGGCTTTTCATTCGCTTTCTCTCTTTCCTTATCCTTTGCTCGGTCCCTATCCCTAGTCTTCTCATTACCCCTCTCTTTATCAGTCTCTCTCTCCCTTTCTCTATCCTTTTCCTTCCCTCGGTCCTTTTTATCCTTATCTTTATCTCGTTCACGCTCCTTCTCTCTAGATTTGTCCTGATCGTGATCTTTATCCTTTGCCTTGACATCCTTGCTCCTATCTTTGCCTTGCTCAGTGAACTTCTCGGATGAAACATCATCCCTAGTCTTCCTAGATCTATCTCTGTCTTTCGCTCTATGATCCTTGTCTTTGTCTTTGTCATCTCCTCTGGTACTTCTCTTCCTATCCTTCTCTCTCCCAGAATGCTTGCTAGACTTTTCAACACCATTTAGCCCCAAATCATCAGCTACTCTTGGAGAATCATCAGGATCAGCCCTCTCTTCACGACGATCATGCCTAGTTTCAAGATGCCTCTCATCCATAGTTACAACTGAAATCAAACAAAAATGTCAATTCACCAATTGTTTATCCTGGGAAAAAGAAACCAATAATCATTGCAGCTAAGTAGAAACCACAGACAGAGAAATTATGAATTGAATTTGAAGGTTGAAACATCCACACAGACCATACACAGTAATGGCAGGTTACTGAAAAATCAAAACCATTATACACAGGCAATTTTAAACAAAGTGTTTCGGCGTTTAACATCAAGCTCTAACAAGATTCCTAACTAATAAACAAACTAACTAGTTTGATAGCTACCTCAAAGCCAAAGGCCATAAGAATTAGGAGGCACACTGAAATAAGGATTCAAAGAGGCAAACTACAGTATGAGAAACATGTCGGTAAAGCTGGGAATCCATAAAGCCATACTACGAGTGCCATTGCGTTCTACCTTAACCATACTTCAAACTTTCGTCAGACAAGCTTTCAACAATATGAAAAGCAATAGAAGAGAGCTCAGCTCCCGCAACAAAAACGAACCATGATATGGGCAAAGAAACCAATGAAATTCACTTTGGAAGCATTATCTCTCGGGGCGAAACCAAGAAGGAGCTTACCTATAATATCCTCCTCTTCTTTTCAGGTCAGGAAGAACAGCAGTAGCAACAGTGCAACGGAAAAACAAGGCAGCGACCAGAGATAATGATCGGAGACCAGAGAGTACGTCCTATTCTTCCACGCCCAAATGTCCCGTCGACTTTTACCTAATCGACTCTCGATCTCGAGGTTTCCTTCTCTCTCTTCACGAGTTCAGATAAGTTACCTCGCTCATGGCGCTATACTACGATGTTCGAGTACCAGAAACACGCGCGTCGCGATGCGCGGAAGCAGTGAGAACGGTGACGAGGGCTAAAGCTCGGCCTCCCGCGATTCTCCCTTGATCTCAATTGCCTCTTATCAGTACTTTTTCCTAGGGTTGCTGTCTCGAACAAGCGGAGACGGCAGCCGCAACTCTGCGGTGTATTGCTCAAATTCCGCGCTCCTCTTTTCCCCCTTTTCTACTCCGTCCGAGTTGCTACTTAACCCGTTAACCGACCGAAAAAAGAGTTGTGTGGGTTTTTTTGTTCTTCTATTTCTGGTTTAAGGGTCGTTTTTTATTTGAGGGATGGATGATTATCATGGATTTAATAGAAGTCCATTCTTTGTTTTATATTTTTTTAAGCAATTTACACCTGTATAGTCAAAACTTTCGCGTTTGTGAGAATAATAATTACATTTGGAAAAATACTAATTATAGTTATTTTCGTTCAGTTCTTTAACGGTGTTAGATAACAAACTGATTAGACTAACAGAAAAGCTGACGTGACAATATTTTGTCAGCAACAATTCCACGTAGATGAATGAAAAAGATTCAAAATAGAATATTAAAATTTCAAAAGGTTATTTTGATTTGTGAAAACTAAAAAGAAAGTAAATAAATCAATAAAACAAAAATGAATGATGTGTGATCCCTTCTTTCTCTTCGTCTCACCGTCCTCCCAACCTTCACTGCAACCGCTGACAACACCACTCACCATCACTCCCCTTGCCAGGTTGAATTATATCTGTCGGCCTCTCTGCACCTCTCGATTCCATATTGGTGACCCGCCTCCGTCAAATAGAGATTTGCACCCAAATCGTTGCTGGATTCGGACGGAAAAAAGGAAAGCTCGACGCACCTTGCCCCAGGACTCTACAAAAAAAGAAAGGGAGAAATCAAGGGACCGAAGCTGAAGCGGATCCGGTCGGCAAAGTTCCACAGCAAGCCAATCTACCAAATCCCCTTGTGTTTACTCAGAATCAGGCCCAGATCTATGTTCGGCCTCTAGATTTTGCACCGTGCCTCAGAATTCGAGCTTCGCATATTGAGATTTGTGGGTCATAAATCCCTTTACCGATCGATTGTTGGGGAACTGGGATTTGCATCCCTCCATTGTCGCCTCAGTATCGGCTTTGGGTTTCTTCTCCGTTGATAGAGGCGTCTAGGTGGAGCTTCTTTGCCCAAAAAGAGGAATTCTTGGCTCGAAGACCCATAAGAGGATTCTCTTCCGGACAGCTTTGGTTGTCGGAGGTGGGTTCGCAGCGGGAGGAGCCACCGTAGTGAGAGCCGGAATGGATGCTCACTTTTGATGCTGGTCGAAGTTGAGGAATTGCTGCTTGAAGTTCTGGGCAGGAGTAATCGCCAAATCCGAAGGTCGCGAATCTGCAGAGAATGGGGAGGAGTAATCGCCGAATGGGGAGGAGGATTTGGGGAAGAACCCTAATTTCAAAATCGGGTAAAAGTTGGGAAGAAGGGTCGTGACTCGAGCGAAGCAGATGAAGGGTAAAAAAAATTTTGCTTTATGATATGTAAATAATATATAATTTAAATATCAGACGTGTCACTATTCGCTTATTTGGCGCTAACGTGTCCGCTAAGTTGGCGCCTAGTCAGCGAACAGTCAAATAAGTTGATTGTGTTATTAACACTATTAAAGTTTATAACGAAAATGGCTATTTGTCCTACAACAACTTTAAAAGGTGGCTATAAGTGGTATTTCGCCAACTTTGGCTATTATTGGCACAAACACGAAAGTTTTGGCCATACAAATGTATATTGCCTTTTTTATCAAAGCCGGATTTGGACCCTTGTAAATTCCAAATCTTGAGGTAGGTTTTGGACCATACTACAAATGTTTGATGAACCATTCCGTTTGTAAATCACAAAACCTTCAGTTTTAAATTTATGAAGCAAACAACCCCTTAAATTTTGTTGTCCCCAATTAACACACCTCGTTTCTCATTTAATGTTCTCACACGGGTTTTTCTTTCTGCCAATTTTCATATTGACCATAGTACCCCTGACAGGAGAGAGCTAGTTTCACTAACTTAATGTGTGCTAGCTAGTCCACTAGCAGGAGATAACTAGTTTTACTATACTTGAGTAAATATAGATTACAACGATTGAGAAGGTATATATAGTCCCTTCTCCATATGGTCAAACTTTATCCAATCTGAAAAAGAAAAGGTATCAATCAGACCAAAAACAAACAAGCAAACGTGTATAATCACATACAATGTGGGGTACAAAAATGTTACTTACTAGAGCTAAAACATGTATAACCTAATCCAACATGGAAAAGGAAAAGTTATTTTCATCTCCACCAGTTTCCCACATTCATAACAGAAAATCAGGTCACTTTTCATACCTAAACTCCACCTCATCGACATGATCTTCATCTCTGAATTGGAATTCTTGAGGAAGCGGCTTATCCACACTAATAATCACCAACCATCCAAATTGAGTTATCAAACTTCATCCTTTCCCTTCTTATATTTTAATAGTATACACGTTCACAAAAAGGCTTCCAATGTTCAAAAAATTAATATAGCCTCTATGTTCAGGAGCAAGGCCCCAGATTTGAACCCCAATATTGGTTGTAGATGTTTTCATATCCATTGGTCTTCTAAAGTTGCTCCGGTCTCTTAAGATCAGGAAGGTTTAAATAATGTGGTATGGCCTCTTCTTTCCCACCGCTCTTTTTTCTATTTCATCAAAGAAGGTATACATGTCACCATATTACGTGACCTTGACATCTCCTCTAAATTTGTCTGATCATTTTACATGGCTTCATATACGGTGGTTAGGGATTGTCTTGTCAAGTAAAAGTTTGCCAACAAGAGAGATTTTCTGGCATTTGGCTGTAATCTCATGGTTGTAAGTAAGGTCGAGAAGAGGATGGGTAACTAGAAAGTTTTGGGTTCAATTTATAAGGTTCTAGATCTCATCTCAAAATCCATTTAAGAAAGAAAAAGGTTTGCTTGGGATGTCGGGTTTGGGAGGGGCGAGAGGACTGGGTAGGTGATAGAGGGGGTAGTAGGATTTTAGAAATGAGATAGAGGGAACTAGTTTCGCCTGGTTTTGGAAAAAATGGTTGATTTGGTAGCTCCTTTTTTTAGATTCTATGTTCTTTTTTTCATGAGTAAGGAGATATATTTTATCCAATTTACTAAGAGTTTTTTTTTCTGTAAGCGGCCAAAACAGTTAAAATCGGGATTTTACGTAAAATAAAAAATGGAGGTAAAATCGGAATCGTAAAATCGTAGGATTTGAAGGTCCATATAAATATGAAGACGAAATAATATTAGTAAGAAAAATCACGAATAACACAAAAGCACATAACACTTACAATGATAATTTTTCAAGGTTAATGTTCCAATGTATCAAGGTTAATGTTAAGAGGTGGCGAATCGATGATGATTAATACGTTGATGTGAATTGATTATAGTCGATGGTGGTTAGTGTGAGAGAACTAGATGATGTTGGTGGAGGAGAAGAAAAAGAGGAGTAATATTGCAAATTCTGGGGAAAATAAGTATAATTGACTCAAAGATTTGAATCGTAAAATCGTAAAATTTTAAAGATTTTAAGGATTTAAATCGTGAATAGTGTAGGATTTTAATATCCATAGATTTTATAGTGAAATCATAATCGAAATAGGTAAGTAGAATCGTAAAAGCGTAGGATTTTAAGATTTAAATCGGGATTTTGACTACTCTGTAAAGCGGCTAAGGTTGAAGGCATGTGACAGGAGAACAAGATGGGATCAGAAGACAGGTCATGGTAGGTAGATGTATAAAGATTTTTGTTGTTAGATTTGGGAAGTAGTACAATCTATCAACAAATGGGAGGTTGTAGAAGTTTGGAAAGAGTAAGTGAAGATGGGATGTAGGAACATTCATAAGGTTAGTTAATGTTGTAGGTGGATTTGGCCAGCAGAGCATTCTCACCCTTATTTGAGGTTGCAAGAGTTTGGTAGGAGAAGATAGAGATGTGAGGAAAGAGCATTTATTAACTCCACCCACTTACTAGGTTTAACCGACCAGATGCATCATTTCCTTATGATTTGGAAGCTCTAGTGAGACTCCGTGCGAAAGAAGGATATTGATTGCATAAAAGAGGTAGTCAAAGCTCCATAAAGGAAAAACAGAAACTCCATGAACGAGAGAGGATAGAGCTCACCAGGGAGATTACAATATAAAATGAACAGTCAAAAACCATAATTAGATCAAAACCAACAAAAATAACACACACCAAACCATCACCTATAAGATAAACAGCAGAACCAACACGAGATTGTAGAGAGCCAAAAGGCAGAAATTCAAAGGCGTCTCGCCAAAAAGGAGGATCGCACTCAGGCACCTCCTCAAACACAGAATCCTGGGAAAGGACAATGGTCAACCGGTGTGAACAACAATGATGGGTGCTACCAATGCAGTCAAAAGCGCGATTCTACCTAGAAGCGGAAAGGGGGTAAAATCGTAAAACGTAGAATTAAAGCGTAAAAGCGTAAGTTTTTTACGCATACTGTAAAAGAACTAAAAATATGTTAAGTACGACATATACTATGAAAAATATGAGTGCAAAAAATTTAGATAAGTTAATAAATACTTGCAATTCATGTCTAAAGTAGAGCAACTTATAGTCTCTTAATAATAAGTTCATAAACATAAATCTTATCAAGAAGCCACCTTCCCCTCCATGCTAATGAATTTTAGAAGAGCCTAGACTGTGAATTAGATTACTTTATTGAAGTTCAGAATGCATCAAAGTATCTGGTATGTATCTTTTAATCTTAAACATATCATATTGTCGGTGATTTATTTTTAAAATATACTTTTATAATTAATTTCATGAAAAGAATACCCATTCAGGGAAGTAAAAGCGTAAAAACGCACAGTGTTTTAGTGAACTAGAAGCGTAAAACCGTAAGTTTTTAAATTTTAAAGCGCAATTTAGTCTGATTTTATACAACTAAAGTTTTTACATAGAAACGAAAGCGTTTTGGTGACCTAGAAGCGTAAAACCGTAAGTTTTTAAGTTTTAAAGCGCGATTTTGACTACATTGGGTGCTACCAGGAGGCTGGACCTTCACCCCGTGCACAAAATAGACAGAACCAAGCCGAAGACGAACACCAAAATAACCAATCAAAGAAGACAAA